TTAGAATGGGTTCTTCAACATTCAAATCCACAAAACTTCATCGTCAGAGCCCGAAAAAAAGCACACGCGCGTTTGCGTGTATCCCTGAGCGAGAATCTGTGGTGTATCACTCGAATCGCGCGGTTTCGCAAGGCGTAATCGCAAAGTTAAAACACAAACATCTGAGAACGTTCTTCAAAACAGCTGTCGACCAGCCTGTGGCTATCATTTTTGGACTTAGGTATAGAGGCAAATTGGATGCAATGCTTGGATGTATTCTGTTGTTCAGATCTGAGAATGTAATAATCGATCGGCTAGCCATGTGAAGATCAGGAACGAAACTGCGAAGAAAACTTAGAAAAAAAATGTAGCGTTGTTGTAGAATGATCAGCGGATGTCCAACATTGCTAACATTACCCTGTCGAGGGCGGGTCCAGATTGTGTTGATAGACTGATCGGTACTCTGCCCATTTCCAGGAAGGACCGAAATGCCGTGGCCAAAACATTATTACAACAATTACCACATAATAGGTATCCGAAAGTTTGGGGCACGCGTATCACGGAAGTGAGGTGCATTTGATAGACTAGGTGGGTAAGGTGCTACATCAGCAAAGCATGCTGGCAACAGCTTATCCACGCAACTTCTACAGTCGATATCTCGAAGTTTGATTGGGCGTGTCACCGGAAATGACGTGGCAGCCACCGCACTTGATAGAAGTTGAGCGGATAAGCTGCTTCCAACACGTTAATCTGGACGAGTATTTTTAAACATCTATCAAGTGGCGGCGGCTTCATGAACGCATTTCGGCGTGACAGCTACTCCAACTTTGGATGTCGACTGGGAGGTTGCAGTCATATCTCGAAGTCTGGATTTAGGCGTGGCTATGGATTTGACGAAGGCCGTCGCCGCACTTATGAAGTTGTGTGGAGAAGCTGTTTCTAACATACTTCGCTGGATATCAGCAAACATGCTGGAAGCAGCTTATCCGTGCAACTTCTACCAAATGCGGCGTCCGCCACGTCAAATCCATACACGCCTAATCAGACTTCGAGATGAATGTATTAGGTCGGTCCACAATTTTTGAGAACCTTTGGTGTTTTTCGATTTATTACTTATCTTATTTCTCTGATCTACTTATCCAGCATAGTATACATCATTATTATTAACAACATATCACCAATGCGAGGGTGGGTATTCAGTGCCTCTCTTGTGGACTTTCATAGAGTTCTGATCGAAGGAAAATTGTAGTTCCGTTCTATAACATCGACATCATCAAGTTCCTGTTGGTTTCCCTAGTTCCTTCGGATGACCATCTATAATAACTCATTGGTGATGTGGACTGGGTGCAGTGTGCTAACAAATCCACGAGCCGCAGTAGATTTGCTCAAACGATTCGGGAGTTCTGACAGTAAAACCCAACTCCCTCTGAATTCGAACTTCCTGAGTCGTTGGCGCAATACGGGAGGGCCTTTGCGCTGAAGACCGGCATCAACTAATACCAGTGTCAGTGATGGGAAGAATCGTTGACAGCTTGATGGCAACGCCTTCAACTTGAAAGCAAAGGAAGACAAAATCTATTTTTCTGAGGTCGTTCGAGCCCGCCTTGCTAAGAAAATTCCTAAAAAATTGGAGACTCTCGGGCGGTCAGTTCTTTTAGCTCCGCCTTGTAGCACTAATCCTGCGTCAACGAACGACTATCCGCTCTCCTCTCTCAATCACCTTCTGGAGAAGAAATCTCACTTGAATCACCATAAAGTCAAAATCGACATCCAATATTTCTTCGATCAGAACTCTATGAAATTCTACAAGAGAGACACTGAATACCCACCCTCGCATTGGTTATATGTTGGTAATAATGGTGATGTATACTATGCTGCTGAATAAGTACATCAGAGAAATAAGATAAGTAATTGAATCGAAAAACACCAAAGGTTCTCAAAAATTATGGACCGAACCTAATACTGGTTGACCTTCGATCAAAAAACTAAACATACCACGACGAGCATAGGTTGTTCATCAATGTCAGTGACCAAAATATGAAGATTCTTGGCCGCGAGTGCAAAGGCAGCAAAAGCTGACTCATGTGACCGAAAAACCCGTGTAAGGCGAGGTTCCACGTGAATCCGAGCGTTTGTGCTTAACGATAGAGTCGCATTCAAACAGATAATATGATCAGCGTAATTCGACTCTCTAGCAAACCTGAGGCGTTCAAAGTGAAACGGATAAATGCTAGTGCTCCGTTAACGACTATTCACCACGCATCAAAAACGGGCTGTTGTTCGAAAATATTACCATCGAAACTACCATTGGTGTTATTGTACATATGGAGATCACTTCATCTAGCATATTCTTTTTATTTATTCACTTAGTAATATTCTACTCGACATTGCTTATTTCACTGTTGTTTGGATGTCCACTTATGTGGTGGTTTCCGACTTTACAAACTCGTTGAGGAAGAGCTGGCTTATCTCTTCAGTACTATGTGATATGGTCCCATTAAAGAAAATGAGACATAACTGGCATTCAGCTTTCTACTATTTAACTTCAATTCTCTTTCTTTTTTCTTCAAGGCGCGAAAAGCTCGAAATCAAGGAGGCAATATCGATAAAAATTATCTTCGCGCCATGTTGTGCATTCGTAACCTCTCCTAGGGTCCCACTTCTCAAAGTTACATACTTCCTTGAGAATGAACTTGCTGTAGTCTACAAATATGCAAGATAGACTCAAGCCAGGGTTTGCAGAATGAAGCAGATGGTGCAAGAGAATAAAAAACAGTAGTATGTGGAAAGATGAATCATATTCCAGTACTTTTTGCCCGATTTGATTAAGAGAGGCCTAAACAGGCACCTTGCTGCACTCAGAAAATAACATTTATTCAACTATAAAAGTATCTACAAAATCACAATTTGTAGTCAATCTCTATACACTTGCGAATAATTCTACACTTGCTTCATAAGCACAAAAGAACTGGAAGGTGGATTGTTTGATACAGGATAAATGGATAAGAAGTTACAAATCGGCTCAGATTAAAGGATAAAGATTAATATTAACAGCCTGAAAACTGCTTACTAATAGTTTATATTGGTTTGAGTAGAACGTAAACGCGACATTGTCAGTCAGAGGAATAGCCAGACCATCACAAGCCCCCAACAAATCAAAGTAGAATCATGTAGAACTGAAATGTATACCGACGCTGCTTTAGGGCCTATAAGCCTGCAAATCTTAACACGAATTCTGATCGTGGTTCCATTAAAAAATTACTTCTAAGACTTTATTGCGGTTGATATATTTATACAGCAAGAGGATACATTTTATTCACTTAGTAATGTTCTCCTCGACATTGCTTATTTCTAGTGTTCTTTAGAGCCACTGCAGTTTTTTTTCACGAATTTACAAACTCCTGGGAAAGAAGTGACGCAGAACTCGTCAGTACTATGTAAATGGTCCGCATAAGAGAGAGATGAGACCTTTACTGGCATACAACTCTACTCTTCATACTTTGATTCTTCTTTCCTTTTTCTTCCTTCAAGCGCGAAAAAGCTCCAATCAAGGAGGCAATATCGATGAAAATTATCTTCGCGCCATGTTGTGCATTCGTAACCTCTCCTAGGGTCCCACTTCTCAAAGTTACATACTTCATTGAGCATGAACTTGCTGTAGTCTACAAATATGCAAAGTAGACTCAAAGCCAGATTTTCAATGAGCAAGATGTGCAAGAGACACAAAGAAAACAGTAGTATGTGGGAAAATGATCAATATTCCCAGTACTATGCCCGATGATTAACGAGAAGTCCTACAACAGCCACCTGCTCACTCAGAAAATAACATTTATTCAACTATAAAAGTATCTACAAAATCACAATTTGTAGTCAATCTCTATACACTTGCGAATAATTCTACACTTGCTTCATAAGCACAAAAGAACTGGAAGGTGGATTGTTTGATACAGGATAAATGGATAAGAAGTTACAAATCGGCTCAGATTAAAGGATAAAGATTAATATTAACAGCCTGAAAACTGCTTACTAATAGTTTATATTGGTTTGAGTAGAACGTAAACGCGACATTGTCAGTCAGGGAATAGCCAGACCATCACAAGCCCCAACAAATCAAAGTAGAAAATCATGTAGAACTGAAATGTATACCGACGCTGCTTTAGGGCCTATAAGCCTGCAAATCTTAACACGAATTCTGATCGTGGTTCCATTAAAAAATTACTTCTAAGACTTTATACAAGGCAAGGGAGCATACCTTTAGTACCTCCCATGCTAAGACAAAACTGAAACTGTGTTGATCATATCTAACTCGGCAATTAAAAGTTGTTGCTTTGCTTACGTTAGAATAGACAGCCCAATAAATACAGTTTTCGAATTCTGCTCGGCACAGAAATGAACCGAAACCAGTTACAAACAACACGTACCAAAAACCAGCACAAAGAGAATAGGAAAACAAAAACTTATGGTCAGAAACAGGGAAGTGATGAACGAACACCAAGAAGAGTAGCGGATTCACGCTTACAAAAACATTCAGAATGATTTCAAGTCAGTGCCATTTTGTCAAACCGGAGATGGGAATCAAGATATCATATACTCACAGGAAAAGAAGCGCAGTCTAGCATCATGAGAAAATGGCATCATAAAGTGAAAGGGGAATATCTTCGAGCCTTAACACAAACTTAATGTACACTCATCTATTTTTTATTGGAAAGCAATTGAACTCAAGCGCTTAGGAGGAAAATTTCTTTTGATCGTTCCCCATATATGTACACAGCTCGACTTGACTACCATCGAAGATCAAAGATGGACTTCTTCTGTCAGACAGCAAACACTTTGAAGGATCTTCGATTACAATCAAATCGATATCTTCAACACTTTTCACACGCACAAAAAAAGATTTGACCGGCACTTAAAGATAGAAGAATTCTAACATATGTATATACAAGTGTAGTGTAGGAAGGATATGATGAAATTAACTACCACTGAATATCGGCAAAGGATAACATAGGGAAAAAATCGGTAACTTAAGTGTTAGCTGATTCCCCAAGATTGAGGTATTCACAGATATGCGTCGGCAGCTTATCCTGACTTGCGGATAGCTGATGGAAAATAGCCTCTGCCGCCGTCATCACATCATCAAGAACCAAGTGCATGGAAAGATCGTTGACGTGCTGAAACCGCTTCATGCGAGCTTGTGGAGAAGATGGTCATAAGAACGTAATATGTGCAAACCAGTAGGCAAAAAATAAGAAAGAGTCCGGTTTTCAAAAAAACCGACCTTCAATATTTCAGTAAGCCCGAATTTGTTGGCTATGATCGTATTCATCTCTCCGTCGAGAATGGCAATGCAAATCAAAAGTAGGAAATTGGGGCATGGTTGTCCTGTCCATAGCACCTGACGTAGAACGATTTGAGAAACCAGTACATTCTAGCAATTATACTGTAAAAACTAGGGCTATCACCAACCTCCCAAAGTTTACATGTATCCGCAAATGATAGTTCCCGCTTGAACCACACGAGAACCCAGCGGAAACAGAAGTACATATCATCCGACTGATGACTTTCTGAATGGGAAACAATTAAAGCCTGATGACCAGTGGTACTCCAATAGATTTTGAGATTATTGGACCTCTACGCAACAAATAGTGAATCATCAGAGAAGACCAGGGAGCTTACCTAAATAGTTCGCCAATTGTGGATTAACTATCATAACCAGATCACGAAGTTGATACATTTGAAGCTTGATGGCAGCCTGATCTTTCTCGAAGTTCCGCTGCTGAAAAGAAGAATACTTTTGATAAAACGACACATTGCAAATTAACCACTACTCCTTTTAAGATTGCACAAAGTCACATCAGTTCTCTGAGGAAACAAATTTTGCTAACAATAATAGGTAACAATTTTGCTGAGTGATGCTTCTAGCTTTGCTCGAAGGATTGGATTACCGTAACATTCCTGTTTGCTAGGCCATCAGCACTTTTTTGTGTTTATAGGTTCACTATAGGCATGGCTATAGCTCTGGTGGTAAGCGTGTCGCTGCGCATCGCAAAAAGCTATTAGGTACCGGATATCTTAGTGTCGTTTTTCCACCACGAGTTTTGGACCATATTATTTTAAGATTCAGAGTACGGAGAGTGAAACAGCATATTCATAGAATACTCGAAGGAGTGGAACAGCATAATTCATCGAATGACTCATTAGCACTTTCCCATTTACCAGTATGAGTGGAAACCTCGTACGATTAAAGCTAGAAATTTTTTGAGTCGAAAAAGAGAGGTAGGTCGGTTTTGACATCATCTGACAAATCATCCCTCTCACTTGCTAAAAGTTAGGCCTGGACAAAAGAAGTATACAGTTAGTTAGAGTAGGGTCTGCACTGTATGGTGGAAAATTATAACTTACCAGCTCAACTGGACAATTTTTCCCGGAGTCTTTTTTGCCACATAGGGTCAAAAACGCACCCTTTTTGAGCACACGTGAGTAGCAGATGAGCACATTTATTAGAATTTCTTGGTCAATCAACTTCGTTAAGCGTTTGTGCATCATCGATCAGTCACTGCTAAGGTGTCCTACCATTTCAGCACAAGACTGGTGCAGCCCCGTCTCGACTGATTTAACTATAGGGCCACCTTTTTGACGACGATTGCGGGCATCACTTCAAAGACTTCACTGTCTTTTGAGAAAACTGTGAAAAACCGATGAGCATTTTAAATGGTAGTATTTCCTCCAATACATGTTGGTTTGGTGGCGGAATTGTAGCTATCAGCAGCAATGGAAGCATTCGGTTCACACTGTACCTTGCACATAGGACACACAAATTTCCAAAAAGGTTAAGCTGGGGAAGTAAATTGTTGAGCAAATAGAATAGATACATAAGCACTATTTCGCAAGTATTAATGAGACGAACGGACTTTCTGATACTATTGATTTTTTACAGAAGCGGTTCTGGGCTTTTCGCTCGCTTGGAAAGAGTAGTCCACAACAAAACTCTTTGGCATTGATTGCGATGCACAGCGGGAGATCGTATTTCATTCTATATAGCCTGAACTCTTGGCTGCAGTTCCAACCGTAAGTGCACCTCCTAGCGCCTTCATCACATTTTCTACAAGGGCTATCTCCCATTCTAAATATGCTAGTCCCAAAGCAGTGAACACGATGCTATTAATGGTTCGGCAGGAGCAATAGGGAAAACAATACCTGAAGCAGCTTTTTTTTCAATACGGGAGATTTTGCAAGATGGGCCAGCTTAGCGGTGGGACCCGCATTACATGTGCATTAACATAAATGTAACGAATGATACAACGAGACAGGTCAAGAGCCCTGTTGATGACCGGAAAAATCTTTACGAGCTATCTGAATTATTAGGGTTACGAGAATCATATGTGTCACTTCACAGAGGACCTAACCAGGGAGGAGTTCGTCTTGGAACTTGGAGGTGCGACAGATTTATTAGAGCTGTCGAAGGTGTTCAATAGGAATAAGATTGCAAAAATAACATGCCAAGGAAGTTGTGAGCAGTCAAAGTTGGCTGTAGGTAAAGTTTTACACTAGCCTCCAGACTTTCAAAGCCGCCGTGGAGTAGTGGTAGTGCTCTCGGAATTTGCGCTCCGACGGGAGATGAGCTTATGACCTCCAGAGTGAAAAGCGAGGGCACCAGAAAGGCCGGAGGCTAGTGTAATGCTTTACTTCAGCCAACTTTGACTGCTCACAACTTCCTTGGCAGGTTCATTTTGCATACGTTTAATTGCCATTGTGTCATCAGCAGTTTGAAAGCCTATAATCGCTATTATTGGGTCTCATCTGGAGATTTCCTGGGAGTTTGATGCTTGCTGTGGACCATATTGTTTTAAAATTAATAAATTCAGATATAAAAATTATAATAATTAGAATACTCGAAGGAGTGGAACAGCATAATTCATCGAATGACTCATTAGCACTTTCCCATTTACCAGTATGAGTGGAAACCTCGTACGATTAAAGCTAGAAATTTTTTGAGTCGAAAAAGAGAGGTAGGTCGGTTTTGACATCATCTGACAAATCATCCCTCTCACTTGCTAAAAGTTAGGCCTGGACAAAAGAAGTATACAGTTAGTTAGAGTAGGGTCTGCACTGTATGGTGGAAAATTATAACTTACCAGCTCAACTGGACAATTTTTCCCGGAGTCTTTTTTGCCACATAGGGTCAAAAACGCACCCTTTTTGAGCACACGTGAGTAGCAGATGAGCACATTTATTAGAATTTCTTGGTCAATCAACTTCGTTAAGCGTTTGTGCATCATCGATCAGTCACTGCTAAGGTGTCCTACCATTTCAGCACAAGACTGGTGCAGCCCCGTCTCGACTGATTTAACTATAGGGCCACCTTTTTGACGACGATTGCGGGCATCACTTCAAAGACTTCACTGTCTTTTGAGAAAACTGTGAAAAACCGATGAGCATTTTAAATGGTAGTATTTCCTCCAATACATGTTGGTTTGGTGGCGGAATTGTAGCTATCAGCAGCAATGGAAGCATTCGGTTCACACTGTACCTTGCACATAGGACACACAAATTTCCAAAAAGGTTAAGCTGGGGAAGTAAATTGTTGAGCAAATAGAATAGATACATAAGCACTATTTCGCAAGTATTAATGAGACGAACGGACTTTCTGATACTATTGATTTTTTACAGAAGCGGTTCTGGGCTTTTCGCTCGCTTGGAAAGAGTAGTCCACAACAAAACTCTTTGGCATTGATTGCGATGCACAGCGGGAGATCGTATTTCATTCTATATAGCCTGAACTCTTGGCTGCAGTTCCAACCGTAAGTGCACCTCCTAGCGCCTTCATCACATTTTCTACAAGGGCTATCTCCCATTCTAAATATGCTAGTCCCAAAGCAGTGAACACGATGCTATTAATGGTTCGGCAGGAGCAATAGGGAAAACAATACCTGAAGCAGCTTTTTTTTCAATACGGGAGATTTTGCAAGATGGGCCAGCTTAGCGGTGGGACCCGCATTACATGTGCATTAACATAAATGTAACGAATGATACAACGAGACAGGTCAAGAGCCCTGTTGATGACCGGAAAAATCTTTACGAGCTATCTGAATTATTAGGGTTACGAGAATCATATGTGTCACTTCACAGAGGACCTAACCAGGGAGGAGTTCGTCTTGGAACTTGGAGGTGCGACAGATTTATTAGAGCTGTCGAAGGTGTTCAATAGGAATAAGATTGCAAAAATAACATGCCAAGGAAGTTGTGAGCAGTCAAAGTTGGCTGTAGGTAAAGTTTTACACTAGCCTCCAGACTTTCAAAGCCGCCGTGGAGTAGTGGTAGTGCTCTCGGAATTTGCGCTCCGACGGGAGATGAGCTTATGACCTCCAGAGTGAAAAGCGAGGGCACCAGAAAGGCCGGAGGCTAGTGTAATGCTTTACTTCAGCCAACTTTGACTGCTCACAACTTCCTTGGCAGGTTCATTTTGCATACGTTTAATTGCCATTGTGTCATCAGCAGTTTGAAAGCCTATAATCGCTATTATTGGGTCTCATCTGGAGATTTCCTGGGAGTTTGATGCTTGCTGTAGACTTACATCTCTTTTCCTTCTATGTTGATTGAACTGAGAATTCCCATACAATTCTCGAAATTGAGAAGAAATTACGATCTTGCATTCAGTTCACAACAGCGATACGGTCTACTTCGTTTACCGTCCGTAATAAGTAGCGGATGATGCATAATCGCTCTCGCTTGGAATATCTGGACAATGATGTAGTGCATCGAAAAAAAGAGAATCAAGTGACACCAGTTGCCGACATAGGCAAATGGAAGTTCCATGACGAATCGAGGGCAAGATTCCTGCTTTTCGAATTCCAGTCACGTGAGTAGCTTCTTATGGTGATGATTAACAATAAAAGGAGGGTGAGGAAAAACGTGGAGGTTTCGGCGCGATATCGGGCTATTGTTTTCGTCACTAGCATAATGACAACACCTTTGTGGCGCTTCATTCACTCTGAAGTAACCAAGTCGTTTCTTAACCTAACTTTTTGTTCCTAGTGTAGTCCGCGAAGTCGCCAGGGCTCTGTCTTTCAAGTTGGTGCCCTCCTCCGCCTAGTGGCATCTGGCTGCGCGGCAATTTCTCTCCATCCTAATAAATTTTTCGAGAGCCCACTCTAAGCGCCTCTTCACTGTCTCGTCCAAAGAAACTATCCAACGTTTCCTTTCCAGAGCGGAGCTGCAAAAAACTTACCAAGATCGAAATTGTACATGACGTAAGTCATGAGAATGTTTTGCAACATCGCCAGATTCGGATTCCCGTCACGCCCTAAGAACTCATGATCGTTCGGTACGGCAACATCTTTTTCGCAAGTTTTCCAATTGGTTTGTATGGAATACAGTGTGTTGCACAAGCATGGATCACCCCATCATTCTTCGATATTCCTGAAACAATTGAATGATTGTTTTCCGAATTTTCTTCAGCAATACCTCACCTTATGTACGCCCATGAACAAATAGAATGCTTAACTGTCTCCCTAGCAAGCGAAGTTCGTTTCACAGCTTTACAAAAACTCAGAAAATCTTCTAAATGCCCGATTCGACACCCTCCGCTAGGGGAAAGTCTTCAAAAAATCCAATTTCAATTCGAGTATCTAATGAATTAGCTTAGGGACGGGCAGAGGGTTGGGTCTGTGCGATCGCAAAGTCTGTTAGATCTCCGGACGCCGCAACTAGCAAAGGAGCAGCAAACGGGTTGTGGACGCCGCTGTTCATCTCGTCTTCATCGTATCGTATTTATTATTTTCTTCTATGATGTTATAACTACTATTATTTGTGATGCTGCTTGACAAAGTAGATATCATTTCCGATTTGGAATGTATAGTAGCTAAGCAGAACGCATGCAATTCCGACATCGTGTTATTTATTGGTGCTGCATTCGACGATCGCATGCGCACGTCTTGTACCACAGCAAAGATGGTATCAAGCGTTCCATAGGCTTAGGAAATTTGCAGCAGAATTTTTTTTAGGAAGAAACGAACGAAACCATAAACTGACCTACAAGACCCTTTCGCTGGCTGTAGCTAAAGAAACGTGACTCCTGGTCTTCGCTGATGGACAGCCACTGAGCTTTCAACCTTTCGTACTCTTTTGCTAGTTTTGCTCGTTTCTATTTACAAAGTACATTACGCATAAGCGATACTATAATGTCATAAGTGTATAAAGTTTATGGTAAATGATCACATCGACAAAAAAGACTAGGCACAATCGAATGTGTTGCTGCGAATTAGGTAGCCATCATGGATTTGGTTAGAGGCAAGAATCAGGATTACATTGATGGGTTTATTCCACTCAGATGTGAAAGTAGGGATGAGAAGGTGGACCGCCAATGGAGAAAAAAAGGAAAGGAAAATCCTGACATGCACAGGAAATACGAGCATTTTGCTCAATGCTGTGGAGAAGTTCAAAAGACAGGGAGGGAGATGAGAGATAATGTGAGCGCGGAGAGGGGGTAGAGAATTCCGAGAAGAGAGAGCATAGCAGATCAACGCAGCGACGCAGACAAGACATCGATCGGTGGGCGGACCATGTTATGTTTGGTGGTGGAGTTTGAAGTTCATGGCGTCTAGGGTCCTGTGACGGTTCGATGTAGATGTAGAGTGAAGGGGGGCACTACTTTGCATTTGGGTACCCAGCCGTCTATCATGGTAAGAAGCTTCTTTAGGAGGGTTGAGCGAATCCGCCTCGAAGTGTTTGTTGTGATGAAAAGATGAGACGTTCCGATTGCGAATATTTCGTTGATCATGGTTATCAGAAGAACTAACCTTAATCACCAATGACAAAGGTGTACTTGCGTAAACATATTTACAACTGGAAACGAATATTGACTATTTGATGAGTGAGAAGGGATAAGGATGCTTTCGGTAAGGCAACCCAGCCGTTTAGCTATACGGGCCCTTTTTTCATCGCAATTGGTATTAGTTGATGCGTCTAAATTCTTCAGGCCCTTACGCAATAAACGATTTCGAGGAAATGGAAGCACTGGGGGGGCAGACACTTATGTCCAAAGTTCACATCGAGCTGTGCGCTTGTAGCTGTGCTTTTTGCTACTACAGTTCTCTCTGCCTTAGGCATATAGTGGAGTATTAAAATAGTTCTGCTAAACTTGTTGTAAGAACGAAAAATTCGATTAAGGAAAACGTTCCAATAGATACTCAAGCATACCTTATCAAACTGGCTATTAGTTTCATCCCAAGCTCTGTAACCGAGCAAGTACTTCCATGCCTCTTTACGCAAATCAGGATCCACCTGGAATCTTTTATATGGAATGATCGACAATTAATTCAATGGTTCGCTACATCGACAATCTGTTGTTCTTCACCAACCTCCTCTAAATACGTTCATCTTCAGGTGGTGAATGTTCGGCTGATCAACAGTTCCGTCAGCCATTTTGAATTTGTCCCAGATTTCCTGAATTACAAAAATTGCTAGTTCTTGGGATACAAGCAAATTGCTGGTATAATAGGGCAATTAGGCAGCGATTCACCCCGCTCGACATTAAAGTGTTTTGCGAGCTGATGGACAGGTGGTAACTTTCGCAGCACGAGCGGTTGGAAATGGGAAAATTATCGCTTGCATTCGCGACTGCTTTCAGTGAGTGGAGCCTTGTAGTAGGCTATTCGTGAAGCACGCACCTGAGTAACTGGTGACTCTCTATAAATTTCAGGACGAGGTGGAAGTTCAAGTTGGGTGACAAGCTCGAACTCCGAGTTAGCATCCAGATTTACCCTGAACATATAGAAGTACGCTGAAGTTTTCATACGCCAAGAAGTTCTTCACTGTAATCAGTTACCGAAGTTTTGAAGCATCATCTTCTCTTTGACAAAGTTCTCGCATTGCGCGTATTTGCTCTTCTTGGCTTACTTCATCCGAGTCAAGCAGAGCAGGAATCATCTGAGTCAGCAATCAAATCAAATACAAATAAACAAATAAACAACAGTACACACTTAGTAAATACAAACAGGGAGAGGAAGAAAATCTTGTCGCACCTGCTGCTTGCATGAATGAAGTTATCTTTCCGAAACCGGTCAGAGCAGCTCTGCATAGGGGTTCTTCATAAAACGCTGGAAAAAATGAATACATAACAAACTACTCAAAAACGGCAAAGAAAATTATCTTACGATAAAAAAACCCACCGACAAAACATCGTCGTTCTGTCCCAAAGCGATTACGCTCTGAGCAAGTGCCTCTGTCTTTCCATCCACAACTAGGACAAGATTTGGTTCACGAGCAGACCTCCGCAATGTAATGTATCTGAACATCAGGAAAAGTTGATATCACCAGAAACATCGCAACATGAGCTACAAAATTTCTGAATGCCCTTAATCTGAATGATAAATACCTCTGAAGAACGTCGACAAAGCCCACTGTTGATTCCGTGGTAAAATATAGTGGGGTGAAGCTGCTACCATCTTACAAATCACGTATGTATGGAGTCCTTCGCCCTAAAAACCAGAAACTGATTGACTGCCTAGGCAAACTCGATTGGACTTATTTCCTCTTATTGTTTGAATGACTTTTTTAGTTCAATGCCTCCTGAAACTGCTTAAATCGTTGACATCCAAAGAGAATGCGAGTCTGTTCATCAACTCGCCAGTCACCTGAAAACTTACCAATAAAATCGGATGTTAAGTGTTAATGATAATGTAGAAGATTCAAAACTATGAAAATCCCACAACTAACTTCTTGATCTAGTATACAAGTGCACCATTCTCTGGTTACTAAACTATCATCTTCTTTCATATCGATCCCAACCACTCTCCTAACACTGTGTAAGCTGAGATAAAGATGCGAGTCGTGGGGTGTGAGGTTTTGGAAAGGCATTGAAATACGGAAGGCGCGGCGCGGCTCGCAGCGAATGGCAAGAGCGACGAAGTTATACGAAGGGGCGTAAGTTACTCGTCCTCAGGGGAAAGGAATGAAAATTCCTTCAAATTTAGGCTTTTGTGAATCTGTTCCCTAGCCTTCAGGAATTTTTGGCTTTCACATACACAAATACCTTACCCGAACAGCAGCTCCTAATCAGAAGATTCTGGTATAGAAGACAAAAAAATCCGAAGAGGTTTTCGTCTCTCTCCCCCTGTGGAAACTTGTAAAACGTTTGACAAGTATAGGAGCAGAGGTTCCCATGCCTCCAGCTGCTACAGAACCTAAAAAATGCAACTCACCCGTTCAGGACTATTCGATGGTGAATGAAGAGTCCTCGTCTCTCCACCATCCTCAGCCAGAACCCATCCAGATGTATCTGGACCGTAAGTTGCTCCGTTTTCTTCGCAAGGTGACCATTCAATGAATACACCAACAGCCTAAATGAATGTAATGACGGAAAAATCTAACCGGAACAAGAAAATGAAAGTGTTAAATTTTGGAGTGTAATAATGAAACAACACTGACCTTTTCTACAATAGATAACACACCAGGAATGTAATCATTTAGATCATCACTCGCTTTCGTCGACACTCCTGATATACGAAGGACGACCTGAATGTAAAATGTACAGCAGTGAAGGGACGAATATCGCGAATTAAAACCACTGAAAATATGCAGTAAAACGGAACAATGGCGCAATGTGCCTCCAGAGTGGAGGGGGGGGGCAGTCTGTCGGAAGGCCACTAGGACTAAGCCTAACGCAGAGGGACGAATTCCGGAGCGAATGAAAATTGCTTACGCAGCTCGGATTCCCTCTTCTCCTCCAAAGCTTAGTCCCAAAACTGAGCAAATCCGTGAATCTGACGCCAAGTTTCCGGCTGGCCCGCTGGTGCCATACTGCCCCCAGTTTTTTGAATACTGAGATAGTGAAGGTGAAGCGGCTTAGATCTTCAATTTAAGGCGTAACGTTTTGAGATTTCATTAGAATCAAACGGAAACCGCAACCAAAGAAAGCATTATCAATAAAACTAGCTTACTTGATCCGGGATCATTGACCGTGACAAATTCGAGGTTAGCGATTCCAAAACTGAATCCATTTCACGCTTGGTTGCTTCTCGTTTATTTTTCACGTACTTGTAGGCGACGTATGGTAACATAAATTGTAACCTGAAAGCAAGAATCAGCCACCAGGCCAACGGCAGCGGAGGGGACTCCAAGCGAAAGCATATAAATGACGTCATTCATATAATCAATAGTCGACGACGAAAAAAGAACACACCACTATCCAGCAGTACGACAATGCGCCTTGAGAGCTTCATAATGAGAAAACAAGAAATGGCAAAGTCCATGAGTAACTCTTGAAGAAAAATGGACGATGAATAAGGGCCGAATTAGGTGGGCCACAGTGTTCATGCACAAAAAAAAACGAGCGCAGCGTGTTCACAGCAGCGGAGACCTTATTGTGAGGACAGGCTAAAGATTTTTTTTTCACAAGAATGCTGGGTTGTGAAACATTCGCAAGGGGAACTGCGGCTAAAAACAGCAGTTAACAAACAAAACGAGCTGAAGATTTATTAAAAACAAGCACTATTGAGTAACTCTCCAAAGTAACTTTCACCACATCCATCCTTTCGCTTCCAATTTATTGACTTAATGAGAAAAGACTAGGCAAAACAGAAGCTTCCGGCGACCAACAAATACCTGACTATTTTTAAAAATGAAACGAACAAGCTTAGCCGTGATTTGGAATCATTCTTGTCCACAATGAATGAATAATGACTGCATTCCATTTTAAAATTCCATGAACACTGCATACTCATATACAGGGGTGGCCAAAAAAAAAGAGACACTTTGCCCATGGCGCACTTCATCGAACTTTTCGTCGCACAGAGTGCCGATGTTAGTGAAACTTCTACGGCGTAATACTCCATAGGTGTTCCCCCGTAAGTAGAAGCAGCCCCTCCTTCGCTGTCCCCGCCGTCTCCAGAATATGACGTCATCTACCGCCACCGTCGAGCTCAACGAGGCTTACCGTAATCGCTCCGGCCTGAAGCTACTTCACGATTTCTTCAATGGATTGACGATTAAATAGCTTCCTCGAGACATTAGCTGTGACTATGCAAAACCACTTTTGACCATCGTTTCAGGGACGTCGTAATGGTCTATGGTACCTCGACGACCCCGTTGAGCTCGTATCGCGAACTATATTTCCGTGGGAAAATCTTCTGATGTCGTCGGTGTAGAAGGCTGTCGTATAAGGTTTAGATATCACGATGTAAAACAAGGTGTCTCTTCTAATAATGAGTTGGGCGGCAGTCCGATTTGAGATCAGAAAAATGCTTGATTAATTGCGTCGTGAAATGTAGGACGTCAAGTGTCTCCTTTTTATTTTTGCCACCGCCTGGTTTATGCTATCAAAATAAAATCGTAGGAAAGACGAACCTGACCTCGTATCTTATCACCTTCGTGTTATGAAGACGTTTTGTAGTAAATCTAGGCTGACACGAACAAATTAATTAAATGTGACTAAGATAAAAATAACTGAAGTGCGAACAAATGATCGAACGTGCAAACCATAACATCGTAAATGGATTGGCTTATTCTTATAGAACAGTAATAAGTACTTTTGAATACTGGCTAACGAATCTTAACACATTTTGTCGAAGTACAACTTGAATTGGTCCTACGAAAACCTCGAACCTTGGAATTTTGGGATCATCTCTGCTTTTTGATAACAGTAAATCAATAAAATAAATAAAATAATAAATACGAGGGCTTAAAAAATTCGAACGGTGATTCCCCGCCGTTTGTTTGCATGTCTATCTGTCTAACACGGATGCTTCTAAAATCAAAAAAAGGATAAGAAGAAGACATTCGAAAGCTAAGATTCTTAAAAAACATAAAGAGCGTAAAAGCCAGAATAAAGCTTTATACGGGATTGCCGTAAAAATATAGCACATTAAAAGTAAGGGCGAACCTTAAGGGCTGGGGTGTAGGTGCTGTCCACTCGCCTGAAAAAAAAACCACGTCATAACGTTGAAGAGAAAGTAGATTACTATAAAAACAACCAGAAAATCAATAACGCAGACATGTGACAATTGCGAAGCGGCGCCCGTCTACGCAACTGCATCAAGCTGATTCACCGATGTGAAACTTGTGCGGCCAGAACGGATCCACTATTGGAAGATAATTAATGTTTAAAATAAATTTGCAACTCAGAAGGAGAACAAATTAATATCACCTTACAGTACATAGGAAATTTAAGTAGGGGATGACCATGTATAAACTTCCAAGCTGATAATCAAGAAACGTTTCTTTCATTTAGAGATCTGAATAAAAAAGAAAAACATTAGAGGAAAAACACTTCTGAGAATTTCCCTCAAAAAGGTTATAGATGGGGTCTCTTACAACCATTAAATTACCACAGCTAAGGAACCTTGTCCTGAGTTTTGCGAGTTAAAAGAGCAACTGAAAATTGCAGTCTGCGGCGCGTCGCCACAACATAAGGCCTCCTCACCAGTATTGAAGTCATAAAGAAATGAAGAGAATGAGGAAGAGATTTTACAATACGGGAAAACTGAATGTCAGAGAATAGTGGGTTTCTACGAGCGGGCTACAAACCTGAAAATAAGAACAAAAGTGCCTTTATATTTTGAGGAATGTCGACTCTACGCGAGAATAAAAATAGGTGGTATACAGGTAGGGTGGGCAGGAAGCATTTCTGAATCGTCATGAGAATCGGAGTTTTTGTGAGCTAGGGAGGGTTCTTTGTTGATGTAGCCAATCTAAAACGACTGAAGATTAATACAACGCCCCAAAAACAAGCACATGATAACTCTCAAAGTGAAATTTCACCACATGCCATCCTTTCGCTTCAAATTTTATTGAATTGAATGAGTAAAAAAACTAAGCACAAAGCGAAGCTTCTGCGACAACAAATGCCTGACCTAAGTTTAAAAAATGAAACAACAAGCTTAGCCGTTGATTGATCATTCTGCACAATGAAATGAATATACTGCATTCTATTTTAAAATTCCATGAACACTGCATACTCATATATATGGCTTCAGTGAATATATGCTATCAAAATAAAACCGTAGGAAAGACAAACCTGACCTCGTATCTTATCACCTTCGTGTTATGAAGACGTTTTGTAGTAAATCTAGGCTGACACGAACAAATTAATTAAATCCTTCTGAGATACACATAGAATCACGTAGTACTTTTTGATACTGGGTGTAAACCCAGTATCAAAAAAAAAAACATAGAAACGGTGACTAAAGAATTACTGACCTGCGAACAAATGATTGAACGTGCAAAGCATAACATCGTAAATAGGATTAAGCTTATTCTAATAGAAAAAATAAATAAAAGTTACTGAATATGTGCTACAACGAATCTCTTTGCGAGGAACAAACTTGAATTGGTCCTGAGGAAATCCTAACCTGAATTTTGGGATTCATCGCTGCTTTTGATGCAGTAAATCAAATCAAATGTAACACATAATAAATACAAGGGCTTAAAATTCGAAGGAGATACCCGTATGTTTGCATGTCTATTGTCTACACGGATGCTCTAATCGAAAAAAAGATAAAAGAGAAACATTCGAAAGCTAAGATTCTTAAAAAAACATGAAGATAAAAAATCAGAATAAAGCTTATATCGGTGATCCTCAAGAAATAATAGCACATTAAAAGTAAGGGCCAACCTTATCTGAAAAAAACCACGTCATAACGTCGAAAAGAAAAGGGATTACTAGAAATCAATAACGCAGGCATGTGACAATTGCGAAGCGGCGCCCGTCTACGCAACTGCATCAAGCTGATTCACCGATGTGAAACTTGTGCGGCCAGATCGGATCCACTATTGGAAGCTAATTGATGTTTAAAATAAATTTGCAACTCAAAAGGAAACGAAATAATATCACCTTACAGTACATAGGGAAATTTAAGTAGGGGATGACCATGTATAAACTCCCAAGCTGATAATCAAGAAACGTTTCTTTCATTTAGAGATCTGAATTAAAAAAAAAACATTAGAGGAAAAGCACTTCTGAGAATTTCCCTCAAAAAGTTTTAGATGGGGTCTCTTACAACCATTAAATTACCACAGCTAAGGAACCTTGTCCTGAGTTTTGCGAGTTAAAAGAGCAACTGAAATCCAGCTCGACGCTGTCGCCACAATAGGCCTCCTCACCAGGAACGACAGGTCATGGAAACGAAATAAGGGAAGAGATTTTACATTACGAGGAAAACTGAATAGAAATGTCAGAGAATAGTTTCTACGGTTTCTACGAGCGGGCTACAAACCTGAAAATAAGAACAAAAGTGCCCTTTATATTTGAGGAATGTCGACTCTACGCGAGAATAAAAATAGGTGCTATACAGGTAGGGTGGGCACGAAGCATTTCTGAATCGTCATGAGAATCGGGAAGTTTGTGAGCTAGGAAGGAGTGTACAATCTAGGGGGGAGGGGGTGGTGAGGACAGTCGCTTGACATGTGTGAAAAGCTGGGCGTGTCCATCGCACTTGTATAAAGCCTTACAAAATACTGCTCTATGGGAGCTCTACCAGGAAGCGACCCTGTGCCGGATGACGGGTTTCAAAACTGACACGCCCCCGATGACGCATCGAACAAACAATGCGTAACTGTCCAACGGAATTCGTTGGAGAGATAACATCGACTCTAAAGATCCGCGTCCCCACTGTGGTAAATGTGCTGTGCTGTTTCAAATGCTATATTGACGTAATACACCAATATGGCAACATAGTAATAAAATACGCGAAACCAAACTACATCTACAATAAAGTGAATGATTACGGCAATACAGCTAGACGTAGACGAACGTATATGAAAGAATCTAAAGATAAACTAACGCGATTGCAACAATATAGCTGTATGTCCGTGGACAAATCTACTGAAACAATGAGCCCAATTTCAGCATCCCAGGTGGCGGACCCCATACCCTCCACAACATCCAGCATACTTCCCATCAGTCATCAGACGTGAAATAAGCTTGTTGTGTGGTTTCACAACAGATGTGGAAATGCACGTCCCATGACAGTTTACAGTGGCCGATGTCAGACTTTGCGATTGGAGCGACCGATCGCTGAGGCAGTAGATTTGTTTAAAAGTCGTAGTGCTAAGGTAATTGATGCTGCAACTACTCGAATCTTTTGTAAGAAACCGAATCGAAATCGGCGGACAATAGAGCGATCTCCAATACACGGAGACTCGATGACTCGCAAACCGACTGCTAGCGACTGGCCGAAGAAAATCATCGATCGTTGATAATCGATGCATGTGTGTACATTCCTTGCCTGTGCGCAGTCACCCTTAGGCTCGACGTCAAGCTTTGCGAACGAGAGATTCGCTAGCAGATCGAGCCATGTAACGCTGAAACGAATCGCTAGCGAATCGAACTAGGTACCAGCGAATCGAACTAGGTACCAGCGAATCTTGCATAAAGCTTGAAACTAGGGTGTTAGGCTAGGTTTTGAGTGAGTGTGTGGTTGCCGTCGGACAAAGAGCCTTTGGTGAGGCCACACAACCTCCGAATTTCGCAATCTCGCGTTTTACTCCCCTATTTCGCCCGCGATAGGTACTCGTTGATTGGTTTACAAGGAGTAATTAAATTATTCGATCATTTCTGTCAATATCTAACACCGTTTGGCTGTAATATAGAAAGAATTGATCGAATAATTTAATTACTCCTTGTAAACCAATCAACGAGTACCTATAGCGGACGAAATAGGGGAGTAAAACGCGAGAATTGCGAAATTCGGAGGTGTGGCCTCACCAAAGGCTCTTTGTCCGACGGCAACCACACACTCACTCAAAACCTAGCCTAACACCCTAGTTTCAAGCTTTATGCAAGATTCGCTGGTACCTAGTTCGATTCGCTGGTACCTAGTTCGAATCGCTGGTGCATCGTTCGATTCGCTAGCGATTCGCTCGATTCGCTCGATTCGCTAGTAGAGTCGTGCCTATCATGGACGACAAGAAGGCTACATATGTAGCGAGGTTCAAAGGTCTTGATGTCCTACATAACAATTAAGTTGTTCGGCTCAACAGCACGTAGAGAGCCAACGCCCCAATGTCTGTAGGTCGTTGAGCAAATACTGGGGTTTGCGGCTTACCAGTGGGTGGTGTGTCAATGAGGACCAAGCAGAAAAATCAGGAAGTTAGTCAGTCAGCAGTCCCGAGAAATTCCAATATGAATAGCAAACAATAACCCCCTCTCAATAACTTAACCTAAAAATCTACGATGAAAATTTAGCACCGTTTAGCTGACCAAACACATGAGAAAATTAATCTCTACTCTGCCTTTATCAGTTTAGATCGTTCATGAAAACTTGTTAAGAAAAGATCCAAAAACCTGTACCCGATCTTTTCACAGAGCTTACCCAGAAATGCAGGTTTTCAAGATGAGCAAATATAACTTCGGGCAGACTATTTTTTTCTAACCAAGTCTACTCAAGTATTGGGTCGGTAAGTCTTTTCACGCTTTTAGTTGTATACATTTCGATCTTCATCACCAATATTCGATCAATGAAATTAGGAATGTATTTCGATCAATTCGCTCTTATATTTCATCTGATTTATAAGGCACCTAGGTCGACAACGAATTTGAGACCATTCTCGGAAATTCTGACATTGCAACGAGCTTGCCCATTAAATGGCCCGAGGAAGTTGAGTCAGAGCTCCAGGACATGTTTTCTATACAACGCTTCTGTGATTCGACTAAATACTTTACACAGACCTGGGACCTTTCATCTGTATTGGCAATACATTTCATATAAATGAAAACCTTATTATAAAGCTTGCAAATGAACAAAAAATTGAATTCAGATATAATATGCAGACAGACGAAGACTTTTAAGCAGCAGTTATTCCAGAAGTATGTACGTTTCTGAGTAACTTTATTTCAATCAAATATACAGAACTCCGAAAAGACACGCAGAAATTGTGGCAATATTAGAATGAAAAACCGCCGTTTGAGTCACCCGATCGATTTGATGCTGGAAGTATGAGGCAAGCAAAATGATTTGTGTGAGGGTTCCTAGTGAATCCCCCACAAAGAAGTGAAAATTTCACCAGTGAAGGAAAACCTACAGCACCTGTCCACAATACCTAACACAAATATATGCACACACGGAGAAGTCGAACAGTGGGCAAATAAAGGAAAAGAGAGAATAATAAGAGATCATACTAATCCGAAATTTCTGCATAGAATGGTGAGTAACTCTCTTCCTGCCACCTCCACATTTTCCTGATGCAAAAAGCATGGTATAGCACGTTCTCGATTAGATGAGCGGAATGTGGCGAGCGCAATCTAAAAAAAAAAACAAATCAACTGTGTGGCATGACTTGCCAGCCGCACAGATTGCTGCCATTGCATTAGCACTTAGAAACCTCTGAACAAAACTTTCCCACAAGGGTTGAGTGCTGCTGAAATATATGAGGTATTCGAGCATTTCTTTTGCCTTTCCACTTTTAGGGCACTTCGTACAGGCGTCTTTAACACAGCAACTTGGACGCGAGGTATGCTGGTGAGCACTTTTGAGATTTATGAGAGCGTCACTTCTTTTAACATGGTTCTCATTTACATCATAACACTCATTTGCCAACTATTCCTCTTCGAACTTATATGATATTTGAACTCCACTCTTTCAAAATTTCAAAAGCCATTTTCCCAGTCGCAAACGATGCTCATTTTTCCACATGGTTTCATCCAGCTTCACTTATAACCATAGGAGAAGCTTCGATGACACGTCTCGCCTTTAATGTAGGCGAGTAAGCCGCATGATGCAGTTTTCTCATACTTATTTCCCTCGAAGGAACGTTTTATGGGGTAATACATTCCAAGGAAATAAAAGTAGTCTCATAACTCCCCAATTCCTAGGACACACCTTGCTTCTGCACCCTTCTTACTTACTTATCCCGATAACTCCTCGACAAGCCTCCACAATCTCACTTCCATTATCAAAAAGACACAGGAAATCATGAAGTCCAATGTTACCTGTTGGAAACAATCTGATGTCCATCAGTCACGATAGATAGATACCTGGACAAGTCGATCAATTGTCCCCAATAATCCAATCCGTTTAAGTGCACAAGCGAGGGCACTGATAGAACATCGCTCGGCGAGCTTTGCTACCGTCAATGTACTCTTGAAGTGTTTTGCGGTCGTATACGTGACCGCAGTGCTGAAAACAACCAGATTTCTATTATAACTTTTTGCTAAACTCATGCAGCTCGAACTAAACTTACTTTGCTCTTGACCGGATCTTTGATTTGCCCACCTCCAAGTGGATCTCGTAACTTTCGGACTACCTCGACCACTCTCATTTCTTCCTCGGTTTCTGCGTTCGATGATGTAGCTTGAGGTTCATCCGATTCTAAATGAAAAAAAAAACTGCAACTGGACCATGGAGACCGCAAAATGTTTATAAGTGTTTCTGCGTGAGCGAAAATTGGCAAACATTCTCGAACACGCAGACACTCACCCACTGCTTCTGGGTGGCGGGCGCGAAGTTTAGCAATGGTATCCGCATTGGATCCAACAGCTTCTGAACTGGCACATCTAAATAAATAACTGAAAAAATAAAACATATATATATAAGTGATAAGATATTCGTGAGGCAGTAGTTCGCGATATTTATGGCTATTTCTCAAGAGAAATACTTCGTCGCCAGAAATTTTTCATGATTTTCTAGTACGAGAGCCAAAAAGCTCAGCAGATCTACTGAAAACTAACTTATGTACCGTGTGAAAAGCTCTCATCGAATACTATGACGGGCCAACACATTCCCGCATAACCAGTTGTTGAAGTTGACTCCACTTAATAAGCCCCTTTTTCCCCCCAAACTAGAATTCCAGCTTTTAACAGACTATTCACGCCGATGGCCGCCCATATGGGCTGCCAACAACATGTGCTCCTAGGACGATGGCAGCCCATATGGGCTGCCAACTGATAATCGCTTGCCAGGCGCTAGGAATGGACAGATAGGTGGGTAAATCTCGTAATCGAGTGAAAATGCTTTTAAATTCCTTCACGGGGAAAGCGAATAAATGCTCTCTTTTCGTAACCACTATTTGTCGTTCTGATCGAAATACTACTATTATATTTAGATAATCTTTACACATTGAACATTGCTGAAATCATTTTGTGGCATTCATGTTTTTGTTCATTTACAGTACAAAATCTGAGGTGATGTGGTGAGGCGGCGGCGCCCACAAAATCGCGTACGTCCCACGCGACTGAAAAGTGGAAAAGGGGCGTCGTCGTGAATGTGTTAATGTTAGTTGCTCGGTATATATCCAGATGCAGAAGCAAATCAAATTCTACCAAAATATATCAGATTGAGGTAATGTTCAATTGCACATGCAAAAAATTCTAATTTTTTACAGCACTATTGTACTAAGTTGAGCAAAAATTACCCGCTGTTTTTTCAGGTACGTGATTCTTTCATTTTTTGGAAAGCGCGCAACTTTTACATTTTGCACACATTTGTATATTTGTTTCACTGTGGAGCTTACACGTGAGCAAAAAAGATTGCTCATGCTACATGAGTGCAAGAGCTCGAAACCGAATGCTTCTGCATCTGCTCGTAGAATCAATGAAGCCTGGGATGAAGGCACGGTTGCAGAGAGGACTGTTCGAGAGCGTTTGTTGATTACGCATTTATTGTTGTTTTTGTTGGTTTTGTTAATAAACTTATGAGTGAAATGAAAACGGCGGATAATTTTTGCTCAACCTAATAAATCTACAATCGGCACCAAGAAAGCGCTATGTTCAGCAGTTGAGGTGCATCGAATTATCTATGAACACTGAATTTTCAAAATGGTAGAGAACCATTAATCAACCTAATAAAATTGCCGCTACAAGACAGAGCAGTCGCCTGAACTAGAAGACTTACCTTTAGTCATCCTACTATCCCTTACTGTACTAAATACGCTCCTCAAACATTTGTAAGCCACTGCGCATACCACTCGTTTTCCACACATACTCACCTCCAACCAGTCCAATAGACCCCGCCACATTAGGATGTAGTTGCAATTATACTCAGTGGGAGGATAAGATTGACAGTGCCTGACAAAACTGCTTGACTGTGTGTCCTTACAACACCAACCGGGCATTTTTCGGTACAGACAGATCGACAGGTCTAGGAACAACACGTCAAGTAAGCGGTAAGGACAGAAGGGTAAGATATGCATTGTTTCCCGTATCCAAATACAGTGCAACTACACAAATCGGCGTGCCGTCCTATCAAAACCGTCGTAAAGCGTGATATCGCCCGTCCGAGAACTTCGCTACGCGTATAGGGGAATTCCTCCCCAGCAAAAATTGAAAATTCTGTAGGTGGCAGCAACTGTCGCATCACACACCCCCTTTCTCCACCCTTACTTCTTTCCTTGTCAACTATAGAAGAATTTGGTGGTAAAACTAGGCTGGAGGAATTGAAGTTCCCCTCCCTCTTAGGCTCACATTCAGTCCTAGCGGTACTCGAGAGATAAGTTGTGTATGCAAAAATACGAGTTCAGTCCAACACGTAAAAACCTCAATCGCCTGCGCCTGTCTTATTCTCGAAAATAGGTGGGTGCCACATAAAACAAGGGGGCATCCATGAATAGCTAAAAAACGTAATAAACACCCTAGATTTGCCAATAGATTTAATTAACTATCAATTAACAGCAACAACTACTAAATTAACCAATAAAAACTAACGCTTCTTCATATTGCTTCATTAGCTTCTCCAGGCGAAGGCCAGTAGAATTTGGTGTCAGCAAATCTTTGTATGATACAATCGTGGTCCTTCTGAAGCAACTCTTAAACTCATCAGTTTTCGCGAGAGGTGTTAGGGTGAAGCGCTCGGTGTGCAAAAAAATACCAAGTTGTTATACGATGTGAAAGGGAAGAGAAGAAAAGCAAAGAATTCCGGTAGTATCACTTTTGTAACTAGTAGCTGAAATCTCACCTGCACGTCCAACTTTTCTGCTTCTTTAATAGCTTTCATATACGATTCTTCACATTGCTCGAACAATGGTGTACTTTCTAACATTTTCAAAGCATCCCGCAGTCCATGCTTGAGAGTGTCCACTTCTTTTGAGCGAATCATGTTCCCACACCAGACAAAGCGAAAGAAAGCGTTTCTGCAACGACAAACCTTAAAACCCGTGGGTACTGGGTGAGGAAACTCGAACAGCGCGGGCTTAAACCAAAGTATACACCGATTTGAACCAGCGCCTGCACTTCCATTGAAGTTCGTGAGCAAACATCAAAGAGCTTCCTGCTCTTCGTCGTAACTAGGCGTGGTCGTACGCCAGTGGTAAGACTTTTCATCAGTGCCAAACTTACGCAGATGGCGCTTAGTAAGCATTGGAGAATGTGGGAGTGGGGTGATTTACACTAAAACGAACAAGGATGTTGTGGACTTAAAATCGGATAACAGGACATGATCAGTATGGAAGGTGCGTAAGACTCCATAAGTTGGTGGGCGGGCCAATCGCGTGCGCTCTCGGCCGCAGAGACAGTTTCTGTGGGTTCACTGCAGAGTGTGCAGCGAAGTCGCTGAGCAGGGATCGAGTGTAGCCAATGTCTAGGGGTCGTGGGGGTGCGGGGTCGTTTTTTTCATATTTTTGTTTGAAAGCTGTTTTTGTCGGTTGAGTAACGCTCATTTGCAATGTCTCTCCAGTTAACTTCCACTTTACGGTAGGGGCAGTCACTTGACATGCGTGAAAAGCTGGAATGTTCGAGTTTACACTGTCTCGTTCGAGAGAGCCCAGGTGAGCAGACTGCCGCGCCGCCGCGTGGCCCCCCCCCCAACTAAGTTAGCACCCATATAATGCTTTGCGAAGAACGAACGCTGGCGCAACGGGGCTCGGGGGAAAGGATGGGACTAAGCTCGCGGTCAGCGGAGGAGAGAGCTCCTAGGATATAGGCATAGCATTTTCATCTTCCAAAGTTCCTGTCACTTTTCTTAGAGTTGTGGTATTAACAGCACTACGACGAGCAGAGATCGCGCGCGGCGACTGCCCCTCCCCCGAAGCCTCATTCGCACAGAACGTTTTAGTCGACGGGACGATGAACAGGGAGTCAACCCTATACACTCGCGGATGACAGGATAAAACCCTTTAGGTTACTTCCATGTAGGATCTTGCTTGGAGGCGTACAAAGCTTCCTTCAGTGAGATTATGTGAGAGCTTCACGCCAATCTGGACAGAGGCCTTAACCCATAACGGACGGCGTGCGCCACAAGGTGGCGCACGACTATTTCTTTTGTTTTTGGAATGTTTCTAGCAATCTTAATATACCCATATATACTCTCAGCAATGTGGAAATAACATATCTTCCCAGGACCTGGACGGCTGGATTTTTGACAAACCTACAATAAATTTTACATACATTTTGTCTTAATTTACATAAGTTTACTATTTGATGGGTGGCTTACCCATGGTTCGCACGTCCCGAGACCCCTTCCCCTAAATATAGCCACATCCTTGCTCGGGGTTGTTGTTTCGCATTTTTCGATAATGTCACCTACAGCTTCCATTCATTCTTTGCACCCTAGTTTTAGAGCGGAAAGGCGGGCTACGAACTTGTCGTCAACGGAAATCTCTTTTTTCGGATGATGAGACTCCGACACCTACTTTAGCCCCGTCTTACCCCTGCTGTTCACATAAGCCTACATAAACCCTACCCTGGGTGGCGGCGTGCGCCACATGGTGGCGCACGCGAAAAATACACTGGCCGTCCGTTATGGGTTAAAATCGTTTAACTCAGGTGACCTGAAGTATTCTGCAGACTTGGACGTTCCGAACTTGAGGCAAGAAGGTACACCTTTGACTTCGCTACTATTAGAGTTTTACCAGCGCGGGCCTCAAATGTGCGCACTTTCGTCCAAAAGGTTCCACTTCTCGTGTAAGCAAATGTAGCCCTTCTCCTTCCCCGAAAAATCTGAAAAGTGAAAAATCTTTACAAGAAGATGGCCATCGATTTCGTCTCTCCTTTCAGTGACATAAAAAGCTGTAAGGTGGTTTTTTCAACTCTCCTAACTACCGGAGAAATCATTTCGTTGTCATCAGCCTCTAGAGGCTCACTGATGAGGTGAGAGTCTACCTCATATGATCTTCGTCCATGCCTGATATCCCTCATTTGGTCTGGCTTACGGAAAAAATCATGGATGAAAGAAAATGGAGGAGAACAACCTTCTAGGAGCGGTAGGAGCTGTATTGTGATTGAACCTTGAGTTAATACTGACCTACCAAAAACACTCACCTGTTTTGTTGGTAAGGGTCGGTAACCTACTGTTAGAAGATGTGCTTTCTTGTGAACGCGATTTCTAGCCTGCAGTTTCTTTGATTGTTTGGCTTTGAAATTTGATATTATTTCACTTCGGTGATAGGGTTCTGTAAGGCTCACTTAGGTATGGGCAGAGGAGTTTCACTCAAATTCGGCGGCAAACACCTCGTGTACCACACCGTACCCATTCAATCGGTCCATCTACTGTATGCTGGTTTCCCATGCAGGGCGCATCCTAGGCAAGGCGGAAGGCTGAAGTTAACACCAGAGGCCATTCACTCACAGCGCAAAGGTAAACTTAAGCGTTAGAAGGCGGCCTGAGAATGGCGACACGAGTTTTCTCTGGTCTACCTGCCACAGTATTTTCGCTAGGAGTTTCGGGCTTCTCTAGAGAAATAAAAGGGATAAAAAGGATAAAGCATTTGCCGTTGATCAATCCCTTTTTGGGATGCGGCACGCATTCTACTTCCATTTGTACATTCGTAGTGGCGTTTGAATGCGATGTGGCCTATACAATGACTTGCGGGGGCCAGCCGATGTTCAAGTCAGTGTTTTTATCCTCCCAGACAAGTCTGGTACCAATTAACCGACCCCGGAGGGATGGAAGGCTTGGTTGGCCCGGGCGACTCACGACCCAGGATTTGATCCCCGGACCGCTCGCGTGTTTTTGGTTTTTAAGGGGCGTTTAGCCCTTGCCAATAAACACTTCTGTCTCTCTAGAGAATAAATGAAAAAAATATTCCTATGGAAACAAGTGCAAGATATCCGACAATTTAGAGCGGGAACCAACATGTGTGTATTGAAAAGGTGCAAAAGTCTCAAAATTCTGAACGAATGCCGCTCCAGCATCCGGTAGAGCGCGGATCGGAGATCGGAAATCGGAAATCGGAATAGGCGCTGTACGAATTCACCCCTCATTTATTTTTAGTATATTTACAGTTCACGCAAGGCGTGAATCATCCTGTACGCGACCATCTGGTTACCGTTGTTCTCACAGCGGACATTATGTTATTTCGAGCTTTCCTACGTGTGCGCTAAAGGCGGCTGTTTACGCAGCTCCGTTTGAGCAGCTGCAACTGACCGGCGGCTAACCGTCCCCAAAGCCGCACAACAGATCATCCCGTCTATCGTCATGTTACTGGTAATTATTCTATTAGCCACAGCTCATGCTAGGATTTTCCATAAGGTTAGTACAGTGCTTTTCATTTTTTTGAGAGCTTCTTCTCGCCAAAACCGCGTAGATACTTTCGATTTTGCAGACTTTCCGTGTTTCTGTGTTCCCGGACTCGCTCAGAGGGGTAGAAACATTTAATGAGTTCACACGTATCTTTTAATCCCACAACCACGTTTTTCAATATATTTTATGGCGCAGGTGCAAATAGTTGGAGTGGACACCGCTCCCATTTTTTGCGGAGGGAGGAAGCTCTAGGATAGTTAGTTTGCTTGTGCATGTGTAATTGAGTAAGTATTGTAAAGAAAATTTCGCTTCTGGTTTTGGATGGATTGAGAGTCCCTGTAGCAGGATGCCCCCTCCAACTACATTTGGGCTTCATTCATTATAATGAATGATTTCTGGTATTTGC